ACCACCCTCCAAGGCGCAGCCCTCCCCTCCCCAACACCTCTCCTCCTCCGTTGTGTGCTTGGCGAAGCCCTGTCGGAGTACTGCCTCTCCACCATCACCACGCCGTCGTGCTGCCGGTGGAGCTGTCTTCCTCAACCTCTCCTTTCCCCTTGCTGGATCAAGAAGGAGGAGACGTCTCCCATCCCGTACGTGTGTTGAACGCGGAGGTGCTGTCCGTTCAGCACTTGGTCATCGGTGATTCGAATCACGTCGAGTACGACTACATCATCACCTTGCAAGCTTCCGCACGCAATCTACAAGTGGTATGTAGATGCAAACTCTCTCCCTTGACTCGTTTCTTAGATGAACTCATAGATGGATCTTGGTGAAACCGTAGGAAAATTTTTAATTTTCTGCAACGTTCCCCAACAACGTGATCCAGGAGACTTGGACCCTGCTCCAAGGAACAAAAGAGGCGGTCACGAGGGTGGGGGGCGCCCCCCCTAGGGCGCGCCCCCTGCCTCGTGGACCCCTCGTTGCTCCTCCGGCGTACTTCTTCCTCCTATATATACACACGTACCCCCAAACGATCAGAACAGGAGCCAAAAACCTAATTCCACCGCCGCAACTTTCTGTATCCACGAGATCCCATCTTGGGGCCTATTCCGAAGCTCCGACGGAAGAGGGCCGTCATCACCGAGGGCTTCTACATCATCCTAGCCCCTCCGATGAAGTGTGAGTAGTTTACCTTAGACCTTCGGGTCCATAGTTAGTAGCTAGATGGCTTCTTCTCTCTCTTTGAATCTCAATACAAAGTTCTCCCCCTCTCTTGTGGAGATCTATTCGATGTAATCTTCTTTTTGCGATGCGTTTGTTGAGACCGATGAATTGAGGGTTTATGATCAAGTCTATCTATGAATAATATTTGAATCTTCTCTGAATTCTTTTATGTATGATTTGTTATCTTTGCAAGTCTCTTCAAATTATCCGTTTGGTTTGGCCAACTAGATTGGTTGTTCTTGCCATGGGAGAAGTGCTTAGCTTTGGGTTCGATCTTGCGGTGTCCTTACCCAGTGACAGAAGGGGCAGCAAGGCACGTATTGTATCGTTGCCATCGAGCATAACAAGATGGGGTTTATTTCATATTGCGTGAATTTATCTCTCTACATCATGTCATCTTGCTTAAAGCGTTACTTTGTTCTTAACTTAATACTCTAGATGCATGCTGGATAGCGGTCGATGAGTGGAGTAATAGTAGTAGATGCAGAATCGCTTCGATCTACTTGTCACGGACGTGATGCCTATATACATGATCATGCCTAGATATTCTCATAACTATGCTCAATTTTGTCAATTGTTCAACAGTAATTTGTTCACTCACCGTAGAATACTTATGCTCTTGAGAGAAGCCACTAGTGAAACCTATGCCCCCCGGGTCTATTCTCATCATATCAATCTCCATCACTTTAATCTTGCTTTTCTTTTTACTTTGCTTTTACTTTTTACTTTGCATCTTTATACCAAAAATACCAAAACTATTATATCTATCAGATCTCACTCTCGTAAGTGACCGTGAAGGGATTGACAACCCCTAATCGCGTTGGTTGCGAGTAGCTATCGCTTTGTGCAGGTACGAGGGACTTGAGTGTGGGCTCCTACTGGATTGATACCTTGGTTCTTAAAAACTGAGGGAAATACTTACGCTACTCTGCTGCATCATGCCTTCCTCTTCGGGGAAAACCAACGCAAGCTCAAGACGTAGCAGCAGCCAGCCAGCTAATGGTTGTAGGGGGCGGCTATTTATAGCCTAGGGAGCAGCCTGACATGATAAGACATAAATGCCCTTTAATGATATGACCGTTAGGTGGACAGATATTTTGGGACAGGTGGCGCATAGCACAGCAACGGTCGGAATTTTGAGTAGCAAAATGCTCAGGGCTATCATGTTCCTCACTGTGTAGGCAATCCGCACTGGCGAATTCCTAACTCATCAGTCAGAACAAATTTCTCAGAGACCAGAAGAACTTCTTCTCTGTCACTGAAGAATATGACTGGACTGTATGAGATTTCCAATGGCTTCACTCGAAGGGATTGGTAGGTGTAGGATTTTGAGTTGAGCATCACATGAAATTTTTTCCTTAGTATTTCCTCGACCCCCTTTAACAGTATGGTGTTTCCTATGACTCAAGAAAGAGAAAATGAAACTACGAAAACAAAAGTCTTCACGCTTCATGTTCCTCAAATGAATACCGAGTCTTCACGGTCACACTAATTTCTTCACTTTCAAAGTCTTCAGAAAGTCTTCAGAAATCCAAAGTCTTCAGTCAAAGAACTTCATTTTTAGGGGTTGACTTTCTCTATAAATATCAAACTCCTCATAGACTTATAGACCTGTGTACACTCATAAACGCATTAGTCCCTTAACCTATAAGTCTTCAATACACCAAAATCACTAAGGGGCACTAGATGCACTTACACAAACACACCGCAAAAGAAGATTACATTGGATATAACTCCAAGAAGATCGAGGAGAACATTGTATTGAAGATCAAAGAGAGAGAAGAATACATCTAGCTACTAGCTATGGACCCATAGGTCCGTGGTGAACTACTCACGCATCATCGAAAGGCGGCAAGGATGATGTAGAAGCCATCCGTCATCGATTCCCCCTCCGACAATGTACCGAAAAAGGCCTCCAGATGGGATTGCGGAAGAACAGAAACTTGCGGCGGTGGAAAAAGTGTTTCGGGTGGGTCTTTGTTGGTTTCCCGATTTCAGAGAATTTCTGGAGGTGGAATTAGGTCATACGGAGCCATGTGGGGCCCACAAGGTATCAGGGTGTGCCCACGCTCCCTGGGCTTGCCCTATTGCCTTGTTGTCTCCTCACTTCTCGTCTGGTCTCCTCTCGAAGCTTCCAGGGTCTCTTGTCCAGAAAAAAACGTCGAAATGTTTCGTAGCATTTGGACTCCGTTTGGATGGCACTAGGCACGGTGTTAATAGGTTAGTCCCAGAAAATAATATAAAATAGCATATAATTGTATATAAAACATTCAAGATTGATACTATAATAGTATGGAACAATAAAAATTTATAGATACGTTGGAGACGTATCATGTGGCCGGGTAGGGCGGCCAAGTGTACGGGGTCATCGCCCGCTACAAGTTAGCATCATAGGTTTTTCCTTCTTCTAGTTCTTAGTTGAACAGTCAAAATATCGACCGTTTTATGTAAATTGTGTCCAAACTTTAAGGAAATTCTTCGTGTTTGATATAATATGTCAAGTTTATTAAATTTTGGTTTGAATTGTATGCAGGCACGATTGGATGGTTGGTTCCTGCCTCAGTGTCCGCAGACGGATACAATATCCGGTTTAGGAGTCAGCATTTAAGATGCCCTTAAAACAAACACGCCCGACTCTGACCGCACACGTCCACAAACGTTTAAGAAGCCAAATTTAAGCAGATAGGTTGTAGATGCCCTAGCGTGTCGCATGTCCACCCGATGAAAAGGGAGAATATCAGGTGATACCAACTCTCAAATGCTCTATGATACTATTTAAAAATCAAATCTAAATGTTTCAAAAAATTCTAAAAAAGACATGAATGTTCATAAGGAATGTTCCTACAACCCCTAAAAATTTCTGGTCTAAATTCGGAATGCACATTGAGAAATAAAAAAGACAAATTTGAATGTGAATAGTGGCATTTTAACTTTTGTCTTTTTTGAACTATTCATGCATTTTTGTTTCTCAATTTGTGTTTCGCATTTCATTTTGACATTTTTAGGGATTGTACACTCATGTGATGTGAACGTCCACACTTTTTCAGAATTTTTTGAAAAGTTTAACATTAAAGCACCTAAGGGCATCTCCAACGACAATCTGCAAATTTTCTCCCGCATCCGTCGGCAGACAAGGGGACCAGTCTGTGGACACAGATGCGGCAGGCCGCCATCCAATGCTAGCCGCATACATTTCAAACTCTTTTTAATAAACTGGATGAAATTCATGCAAACTCGATCAGATTTCATATAAACATGACGGATTTTGTACAAACCGGACGAAAATTGTTACATTTTGGACATATTTTAACTGAAAAGGTTAAACTATGTGCACGTATAGTCGCGCGGAGCTCCACTCCCATGACACAGGTACACTACACTAGTCTATGGCCGGCCGCGACGGATCCCTTTGTCTTCCGCATGTTCGGCAGCCCGCTAACTGGACTGCCAGGAGCCCCGGAGGCATATTCTTCCCCCGTATCTTCCCTAAGTCGAGCTACACCGCTCATCGGAGTGGCAAAGAGGGTGCTTCAGCCGGAGGGGAAGGTGCTTCTATGGAGCCAGATGGTTGTGCCTAGGATGGTCTGAGATAAAGACCGGACAGGCCACCGATTGTACAAGCCGACGACGCGCCGATGATGGCCTTCCATGTTCTACTTCTTCTCGATGATGGCGGCTGGCGTGGACATGCAGGCTGCCACCTCGTCGACATCCACGCAACCGGCTTCTTTCTCTACGTGCATGGCACGGCTAAGCGCGCATGGACGGCGGATGGCGCGGTCGCAGGCACTGAAGGTGGCGATGCCCGTGCCGGGATGGAGCAACTTGCCACTCCTCCGCAAGCTGGCTTCGAGCGGTGAGTTGCCGAAGCATGCACCGGCTTGGGGAGGCAACTGGCTCTGTTAGGCTAGGCGAGGGAGGTGGAGTAGCGAGTTGCCTCGCTTGTATCCGGCGGTCTCGGCAGGCCACCCAGCCGGCTTTTATGCCGGAGAACTGCTCTTCCAGCTCGTCGGATGCCATCGAAAGAGTGAAGAAAATGGTGAAGGAGGAGATGGAGAGCGGCGGAGTGGTGCGATTCTTGCCTGTCGTATGGCCTCGTTTAAATAGAGGACGGACGGAAGGAGCTTGCCCGGCGTTGCGTTTAATGCCGGCCCCGCTTGTGAACGGATGTGTGGACGGAGTAGATTTCTCGGCTTCCACGCGGGTTTAATGGAGGCGTTCGAATGCGGCGAGAGGGCGTGTCCAGCCAGGTGTGCAGCAGGTGGTGCCCTCGGTCGGCGCGCCGCTTCAATGACAGAGGCAGTGAGAGGTCGCGTTCGCCTTGAACCGTCTTCAGTGTGGAGCGGCGAGCTATACAGCGATATGAATGCGAGTAGCTGGACGATAGATGTAAAGCGCACGAGGGCGAAGGGAGGGGTTTTGGTTGGCCAGGGCGGTTAGAAGCGGGCGTGACATCTCGGATTCTCACAAATCTCTTCATGTTTGTCTCCAATTTATTAGAGAAAATATATTTGGACCACTGCGCAAATCAATACAGATTCACATTGGATGCCTTCTACGCATGCAAAAGGTTTGAGGGCTACGTTGGAAATGACCTAAGAGACGGGAACATCTGATATTCTCCCCTCGTGAAAAGGAGCATAGGCACCGTTGATTGATCTCTCAATATATTTTTTATTTGCTTAACAGGATTCGCCGGTTCTCCCAGTTTAGTCAAAGGTTGCTTTCTCTATACGCTACCGACCCTTCTTGAAGCGCCGAGCTGCGTGGAGCCAGGAGAATCTTGGAATGTCTTAGTTGATTATTGTGCTTTCATATGGAATTCAGAAGATCCAAGAAACGGAAGCAGCCATGAGGTTGGCCAACAAGACATGACTGCGTTGCCTATCTTGTGTTCTTTTTTGCCTTCAGGAACGGCACAAGAAGGCGCGCTGAAGTTTAGGTAGATGTTAATACTGTGCTAGACTAGATTAATTTACTTGTTCTATAATACTACTATTTTTTTTTCGAAACGGATATAATACTACTATAATCTTCTTCTTTTTGAGTGGATAGCTGATACTAATTGAAATGCGTAGAAGTTTCTCATGTTACCTGGACCGATGATGGCCATGTGGCCGTGCACCTGGGTGCTGGTCATTTGCTCGGTCCAAAGAAACGGCCGAAGGGGCATTTTCTTATGTTGGATGAGTCAACAAGCACAGGCCACACCAACAGCCGACGTGCCATATATGCCGCCCCTTGCCCCTTCCCCTATTAATAGGAGAATTCCGTGCTGTCTCTCACAGTTTTGCAGATTTCAGCAGACGGCCATAGCTTTGACCATCCCCTTCTTCCTTCAACATTTGACGGCCGGCAAGCTCTTGTCCTCAGGTACAGCACCATGCTTGCCATAGCTCTCAACTCCGCTTTGATCTTGGTGTTGCTAGTTAATCGTTTCCCTATCTGCAAGTAAATCACCACAACACCGGTGACTCCTTTTATTAGTTCGTGCCATGAGTAATTCATCAATATCCATGACCTTTTGCGGCGCCCTTTCATTTTGGCACGGCTCTAGCTGAAATTAGGGTCGCCTGCAGTGCAGCCAAGGCAGGCGGCCATGGACGGCGACAGCCCGGTGATGACGGACAGCGAGCGGAGGGCGTACCGGTACGTGCAGGCGCCCAAGGTGCAGGGCCTGGGCGGCATCAAGAACTCATGGTCCAACGACTCCCTCTTCAGCCTCAGCTACGCCGGCGCGGGGGGCAGGGCCGTCGTCCACTCGTGCGTCTGCGCGCCCACCACGCACCCGGGCTCCTTCCGCTGCAAGCACCACCGCCAGAGCGCCGCCCACCTCGGCGTCGCCGGTCACGCGCAAGCGCAGCCCACGGCTGAGGCTAAGCGCAACGAGGTCCACGGAGAAATGTCGACCGCGGATGACGAGAAGGCGTCCTGAAGGGGACCGCGTGCGTGTGTTTCTTCATGGGACAAAACGTACCGTGCTGCTTGGTCACACGTGACCGGTGTAGTACGTGGCAAAGCTTATTCCTCTGTCATTTCAAAGACTTTTTTCGTGTGTAAGGATGTTTATTTGTTTTCTATATTTGTGAGAGAAGAGCGTTTCATTTTCCCAGTAGTTATGTAGGAGTAATATATTGTTGTATATCACCCGCAATTTTCTTTGGCCCAAAAACATCATTTGCTACAAATAGCCCTACTGCTGTGTTTGGATGTAGGAAAAACTGCTTGGAATTGAATTGGACTGGAAATTCCAAATCCAAGATGGAAAGGAAATGGGGTCCAATTCGACGTAGAATTGAGCTTAGCTCAGATGGATGCTCACATTTTTTTGAATCTATTTCAGGTTTTTCGGGTTCGGGGTTAGTTGGGAGAGGTGTTTTTATCGACTACGAGACGTCTGTGATAACTTCGTCAATGTTAAGATGTTGCGCCAGTTCAACATTTCAGAGGTGCTAATAGGGATAGGATATGCGAACGTGTGTTCATGGAGCTAAGTGTATATCCGTGTATATGAGTTAGGATGTGCATGCATATGTTCATAGAGCTAAATGTACACGTGTATATACGAGTATTTGCGGCTATAATGTGTTCAAAAGAAAGATTCATTTTAGTACTAACAATCAAACTATGAAAGCACGCAATTTCTAAAACCAACCCTCGCGGTGGTTCCGCAAGGCAATAAGCCACTCTCTTTCTGTGACAAAAGAAACCCAAAGGACATCTTACTTCTAATAAATATAATAAAATATTATCATTATCCAAAATAAGTGTCTTAACCTTAGAATAATTTTATGTTAAAATTAGTACAAATTTAAGACACTTTTATTTGAGACAGAGAAAGTAGTAATTGGTACAATCCAAAGAAAAATAGTAACTGAAAGATAATTGGATGCATAATGATAAATAAATAATAAAATTACATTGAAGATTATACTGCCCTTCTTCTTCTTTTGACTGTAAGTTGTTCACTAAAGATTGAAAACTAAACCAACAGTAATGAAAAGGATACCTGCAAACATCTTCGTTGTACCAGGCTTTACAAACCGCAATAGCCACTCGTTGCTTGAAACGAGATCTAAAAATTGCTGAAGAAACATCGGTCGAGCATCACCCCCATGTAGTACATGCTTGTAATACATAACCACCGGTCTAGAGAGTTGGAGAAACCAGACCATGTTGTTGTTTATAACAACACAGATGAATATGTCAAAATCGTCGCGCCAAAAGCCAGACAATCACTCACCAACTGCCAAGAACTGAAGAGAGCCAACAGATCTAGCGACATAAACTCTGACATGCCCTTTATCGTCGCCGGATAGAACGTCGTCGAGGCATGGAGAGGCCGGAGAGATCTTATTCCAAGACGTCATTGCCATCGCCACCTCGTCGATGCCGCCAAAGAAACAAAAACAACACTTAAGGAGAAGAAAAGCGAAATGGACGGGTCCCCACTCCTCTTGTCACTACAAGGCAGTCGGACGAGGAAGGGGAGGTACCAAAGCGACGTCGTGGAGGAAACATTTGTCGACGATTAGGGATGTTTGTAGACCATATGCCACTTTAGCGTCCTCTTTGATGGTTTTTGGGCCAGGCATGTTCAGAAGTTTTGACAAATTAGTTTTCGTCTTCCATTTTCAAGGCACGTGGGCTCCACTGTCAACATACTTCTTCTCTTCTCTCCTTTTATTTTTTACTTCATGTCGATGTTTGTTAACCAGGTTGCTCAACTCATAGGCAAGAGATATATAAGCCCTTAATTGATTACGAGAGCCTTTATTTGCAGGATTTTAAGGAATACGAAAAGCATAGGATTGTAGTGTCATGGGCATATGAATTCTACAGGATTTTGGTGTGTTTAATGGTTCTTTTGAGGAAAAAACAAATGATTATTTTCAAGAAGTTTAAGTGGGTGTTAAAATTCCTATGGAATGCAATACAAGGGAAACCTTAGAAATTCTTTTAGTAGGATTCAATCCCCACGAATAAAACTGCCAACGTAGAAAAAATCAGATGGATTTCAATTCTTCAAAATTCCTATGATAATCCTTTCAATCAAAGAGGCCTTAAACATGTGCATCGATAAAAAGAAATGCTAGCTTTGTAGTAAAGAATATAACTCATGCTATTGGGATCAAACACAAAACCAAACGATCTGAAGCATTTCTTGTGGTATAGTTTTGAAATTGAGATAAAAGCATAGTTGATTTCGTAATCAAGGTGAAGCTGGCAAAAGCACCCCAATATATGTCGAAACAAAATTTTGCCCCACTTTATATATAAAGTAAAACTGAACAGAGTACACGGTCAAACGATACAAGGAGATTGGGTAACCCTCACACAATGCCAATCCCAGGATAACTGGATCACGTAGGACGCACATGACTATGCTACCAAAAGAGAGTACAGGAAGAACTGAGTACAACACCACGCCAAGCCCTAAAACACCTCAGCTCCACAACAACGCCCCCAGGAGGGAGAACCGCGCCAAGCGTCATCGCTGTCGAGTCCACAGCAGATATAGGTTTTCACCCGGGACCCGAGCACGGAGAGGAGCACCACAATGACGTCATCAGAAAGATAACGGCGCCCACAAGCGTCGCCGTAGAAATGGAAAACAACAGTTATGTCTGTACCAATACATGCAGTTGTCGATAAACTGTTGGTACAGATTCCTGAATCACTTCAGCTCGCGCTCACATGAGTACTTTCGATCCGGATGCTTTTTTTATTAAAAAAAGGACGAATATGGTCGATGCATGCTACAGTGAAGGAAATATGCCCTAGAGGCAATAATAAAGTTGTTATTTATATTTCCTTACATCATGGTAAATGTTTATTATTCATGCTAGAATTGTATTTGTAAGTGCATCTAGTGCCACCCTAGCTGGTTTTGAAGTATTGACGACAAACCTGGTTGAGGGATTAATGTGTTTGTGAGAATTGTAGGATAACACAGGTAGTAGTCCCTCATTGATTCGATTTACCTACTGGAGATGACCCCTAAAAATGTATGAAGACATTGAAGACAAAGGTGGTATGTGAAGATATTCACATTGAAGACTATGACAAGAGAAGACATCGCGTGAAGACTTAGTTGTTTCGTTGTTTCCTTTTCTTATTTGTTGAGTCATAGGAACCACCGTACTGTTAAGTGGGGTCCCAGTGAATAAAGTCAGAGTGACTGAAGTGATGCTTAACCAAAATCCTATGTCTTCGAGCGAAGACAATGAGAGCAAATCTTATCTAGAGGTGGATGAGTCAGCTTTACTTGTAGCCCAAGTAAAGTTGCCGCGTGTGTTTGAAATCTGACCGTTGGAACACATGTCAGTTCCTTAGTGACCCAGGGTCATTTCAGACAAATCAGGTCGGGTTGCCTAGTGGCTATAAATAGCCCACCCCCTACACCATAAATTGGTGGCTGCTCAGAGTTAGTGCATGGCTTTTGTCGTTTGAGAGCAACCCACCTTCGAAGCTTTTGAGAGAGAAATCCTTGCGAGGACAAAGCCCTAAACACCAAGAGCCAAAGAGTGTTAGGCATCACTGAAGTCTTCCTGTCTGTGTGATCTGAAGACTTGTTACACTTGAGGACTGTGAATCCTCCAGCCGTTAGGCGTCACGTTCTGAGCGTCCAAGAGTCATTGTGGATCGTCGGTGAACGAAGTTTGTGAAGGTTTGGAAGTCTACCTTGAAGACTTACCTGAGTGATTGGGCGAGGGCTGTGGGTCCTTAGCTCAAGGGGAATAAGGTGAAGACACGGTCTTCTGAGTTAAATCTCAGCCTCCCTAACCAGACGTACAATTGTCACAGCAACTGGAACTGGTCCAACAAATCATTGTCTTCTTCACTAAGCAACTGGTTCTATCCTTCCCATCTCTTTATTTACAGTTGGTCCTTGTGAAGTCATTGCATGTTTGCATTATCTATTTGTCTTCACTGTGTGACTGTTTTTCTGATTGGCTTCATACTATCTTCCATCCTGATATGTACTGCCTAACTGCTATTAGTCTTTGTGCTTTCACTTTATTGAATATTTGACTATGGCTTGCCTAGTGTAGTCTACCTTCCGCTGCATGTTTATAGGTTCATTTCTATCGTTTGTCTTCGAAACTTCCATGTTTTGAAGACTTTCATAAAAATCGCCTATTCACCCCCCCCCCTCTAGTCGATAACTAGCACTTTCAATTGGTATCAGAGCAGGGTACTCCCTTGTTCTATGTGATTCGGTTTAACCACCTGGAGTTTTAGCTATGTCGACCGCAGGGATAATCAAAGTCTCCGCTGCTTGCCCCGTCTTCGATGGAACTGAATATCCCTACTGGAAGAATAAGATGTGCATGCATCTTGAAGCCATTGATGTCGACATCTGGTATGTCATCAAGAATGGCGTTGCCAAGGCTATTGAAGGTGTCACCGCTGCTGATGTCAAGAAGTTCGTTCAACTGGATTCTACTGCAAAGAACATCATCTGTGGTCATCTGACCAAAGGACAGTATGGCCGTGTGAGTGCTCTGGAAACATCAAAGCTAGTCTGGGACTGGCTCTCCAAGGTCAACGAAGGCGTTTCAACCCAGAGAGATCAAAGGATCAGTGTTCTTCGCAACCTCTTCAACCGCTTCAAGAGAAACGACAATGAGAATGTTCCGCTCACGTTTGATCGCCTCACTAATATCACAAATGAACTTCAAGCTCTCGACGCTACTGAGATCACCAAGCACGAAATTGTCAAGATGCTCCTGAGATCTCTTGACAGCTCATTTGACACCCTAGCCCTAATGATTCAAGAACGCCCTGACTTCAAGACATTCGATCCATCTGACATACTTGAAAGGCTCAACACACATGAGTTTTAGCTTACTGAGAAAAGAGAGATCTACGGTCCCAACTATGGCTGAACTCATGCTTTGAAGGCAAAAGTTGTTTCCTCTTCTGAAGAAG